AAATCACGTGATTTGAATTGCGGAATTGCGGATTACTATGCGTAATTCAATTCAAAAATCCGCAATATTGCAGATTTAAAAAACAATTGCAGTACCATCCTTAAGTGATAGTAATGATGACAATTGTGTTTAATATTTAATTGAAATAAATTTTTTTTTGAAAATCTGTCATAAAACAATTAAAAATATATTTATTGAGTTTTTAAATATCATTTTATAACTAATTCATTTATGATGCTTATTTAAGATACTAGAAAATTTAGGAGTTGCTTATTTTTGGGGGTTGCTTATTTTTGGAAGAATATGGTACTTAAAATTCCGAAATAGCTTTAAGGAATTGATAATTATAATTTTGCATTTGCTCAGCCGTGAAGCTTACCATATCCTATTTGTGATGGAAAACATGGGAATTATAAATTACATGGCGAATGGTATAAAAATGAAATAGAATATTGTCTTATTTGCTTTATTTCAAACAATAAACTCAAATTCGCAATCGTAGCATAGGCAAGCATGTGAAGTTGGAGTGTTCAGTCAACTAATTAAATCAAAACTATATATGGTATCATATAAAAATTTACTATTGAATTTTTTTTCATATTAAGCTATTTTATACTATAATTTAAACTATCTTATAATAAATTTCATATTAAAATCAATATATTTTTGCACTTTCATAACTTGGAATTCTACTTATTTTTCGTGTTCTAATTTCTGCAAAAGTATTATAAATCATTAACTTTTTCATATATTAGAACTTTTTTTCCCAAAAAGATACACAAAAGTTATAAAATAAACGTTAGAACTATTACTTTACAGGAAAAAAATTTTTTCTGCAGTTTTTTTAAAAAAATGCTATATTTCAACTTTTTTAAATTATTTGGTATTGCATAAAAACTAATACAGTATAACTTATCGAATTTTTAAAATTTTGGATTACTTACAGGAAATGCCACCAGTCTCAAAACAAGCCCATAATTTGAAAAAAGCATGTGAAATACGAGATCAAAAATTAAAAGATCAACCAGAAGCAAAGAAAAATGAAATGAAAAGAAAAATTAATGAAGTAATAAATGAGATAGATGAATCAGAACTTGATAATGTATTGGAATCGATAAAAAAATCAATAGAGCAGCATGATTCTAATACAGTAATATTTAGTGAAAATGATCCACAATGGATTAAATTAATGTCTACAATTCAACAATTATCTGATAAAGAGGTATCAGCAGCAAGTCATCTTATTGAAACTATGCGTTATTCAAAAGATTTAAATGCAAGTCAACTTCTATTACCATATATTCAAAAGAAAGCATATAATTTTATTGCTGATAGCTATTATAAATACCAATTATCTAATGAATCTTTAAAAGATGCAAATTATAAACTTGAGTTGGAAAATAAAAGGTTTGATTGTCAAATAAAAAAGTTAATTAGAAAGACAAATTCACTTGAAGCACAAGTAGGACATTTGCATAATCAAAAATCACAGCACATCTCAGAAATTCGCTCTCTAATTCGAAAATCTTCAATATCAGATGCTGCATTTAAAAATAAAATAAAATCTCTCTTTATGATCAATAAACGAAGTTATTCCTCCAATATAGTTTGGCTTGCAACTAGTATTACACAAATAGAAGAAACATCAATGCGCTCTTCAATTGAATGTACTAAATTAATTTACGAATTTTTAATTGGTGAGTCTCCACGAAAATGGTTATCAAACTTAACATTACATACATGACATGAAGACGTCTCTCAATTATCATTAATAATCATCTTTCTCAAATTGCAAATGCATCAGTCTTTGGAATAATGGTTGATGAATCCACCCATAAAGAAATAAAAAACTTTATTCTTTGCTATTAAGTATGGAATGAAAAAGAACAAACTCCTATTGTTATTATGGCAAGTCTTAAAGATATTCCAAAGTGTAACAGTGAGACAGTTTCTAATATAGTTGCTCAATCAATTCAAGAAGATGAACTTGATACTACTAAATGTATCTTATGGGTTACTGATAATACAGCATATATGGCAAGTAATAAAAAGGGTGCTGTAGCTCTTTTTAATAAAAAAACTGGCACAAATGCTCTTCAAATTGGTTGTGAGCTTCATATTATGCAAATTATACTTAATCACTTTGAACAAGAAGTATTTGGCAAACTTTCCAATTCTACTGGATTTTCTCAGAAATTACATTCATATAATCTCTTATATTTGGCATGGCATTTACATGATGGCTATAATTCTAGTGATAAAGACAAACCTTTAAATCTTAATGCATCAATAATTAAAGATTTATATGATAAATTAATGGGATTTTATTATAATCAGTATCAATTGCCCTCTGTTCTCGTTGGAGTTATGAATTATGAACAGCAAAACAATATTTAGATTGACATAAAGCTCACATTTTATTTACTCGTTGGTTTATTATCCAGCTAGAAAATCATCATCATACACCAAAAGCATATTTAAATGATTAGCGTCTTTTTGAATTATGGTTATCTAATTCAATACTTAATATTCAAATAAAATGCTTAGTAAATTTTGCAGAACATTTTTATGAACCATTAGTACAATTCATAGTAGGTCAGGATCCTAATCTACGTATAATACAAAATGGAAAATTAGAAAAATTGCCCTTTGGAAGAAGAACACATGAAATGCCAGATAAAATATATGAATGGAAAGATTTTCTTGGAAATCTCAAAAATAATGTAGAAATGTTTTTTGCTGATGAATTATCTGAAGCTATTGAAATATTATCAAATGATGAATTTAGAGAATTATTCAATGGTTTAGAAAATGGAATTAATAAAGCTTATGAATATTTTGAAAAGTGGTTGGATCCATGGCTTCATTTACCTTTAGTTATTTACCGTCTAGGTGGAAATTCTGCACATTTATTTGCCAATAGTTTTCATTTTATGATTTTAAAAAGAGATTGGAATAAAACACCTACAGATTTAGAATTAATATTTGCAAAGGATTTAGAAAATGACATTAATTGTGGAATTGGCAATACTTTTGGTTTACAAGAAATGTTATTGTGTAATAAAGAATTTGATGATGAATTTGAGGAATTTTGCAAAGCTGA